ACTAAGCTGTTCGAGAACCAAGGTACCACTATAATGCCTATTCACATAGTATCAGAGTGCTGTAAATGAGACCTGATGGAGATGTGACCTGAGGCAGGACTGAGATGGTGAAGTATATCAGGATGCAACATTCCTTCCTCTTAAAGGTAAAGGGACCCCTGACCATTAGGGCCAGTCGTGGCCGACTCTGGGGTTGCGGCGCTCATCTTGCTTTACTGGCCAAGGGAGCTGGCGTACAGCTTCCGGGTCATGTGGCCAGCATGACTAAGCCACTTCTGGCGAACCAGAGCAGAGCACGGAAACACTGTTTACCTTCCCGCCGGAGCGGTACCTATTTATCTACTTGCACTTTGACATGCTTTTGAACTGCTAGGTTGGCAGGAGCAGGGACCGAGCAACGGGAGCTCACCCTGTCATGGGGATTCGAACAACCGACCTTCTGATCGGCAAGTCCTAGGCTCTGTGGTTTAACCCACAGCACCACCCGCGTCCGTTCCTTCCTCTTAGGAAGGCACAAAAAGGGCTGGTTGGGGAGGCTGCAAGGCCAGCCCCAAGATATTCTGATGCCTGTGGCAAAGGATATGGTGATGCCCTCCTGCTTCCCCATACTCCTTTACCGAAGCCACCCAGCCTGAAAGTTGGATTGACTTCAGAGCTGGTGATGGGAGGCTTACCTCTCTGACACCTGAGGGCACCAGGCTAGATTAGAGGGGAAGAGGAACCCAGTGGCAGAGCACCTGAAAAGGCATGATGACCCATTAGGAAGAAAAGAGAAGGGAAACAGAGCTGGGCTGTGTAAGCCCCGCCAATTCCAATCGCACAACTTCCCCCAAAGAATCCTGGGAACTGTACTTTATCCCTCACAAAGTGACAATTCCCAGCACCTTTAGCAAATGACAGCTCCCAGCATCCTTTGTGGGAAGCCATGTGCTTTACATGTGCAGTGCGCATGCAGCCTCCATTGCAGAAAATCTGGATGAATAAGCTATCAAAATAAGTTGATAGCTTCCTGAAACTGGTTCTCCAAAACTCTCCTTTCCTTTCCAATGTGCCAATGCTTTTCCTTTCGCTTATAAGCCTTGGGTCAAGGCTTAGACTATTTCTGTTTTATTTGTTTTTTACAGTGCTTAGCAACTTTATGTACTTTTATAGCAAATGAACAAGCAAGGATATCAACAGAGTTGGTAAGGACTACAGACCAGCAGGAGAGGGCATATTTTTCATGCAGCACGTCTCAGGCTAAGTCCCCAGCACCTCCAGCTAAGGTGGTCAAAGACCCCTAGAGCAGTGTTTCCCAACCTTGGGCCTCCAGCTGTTTTTGGACTACAACTCCCATCATCCCTAGCAAGCAAGACCAGTGGTCAGGGATGATGGGAATTGTAGTTCAAAAACAGCTGGAGGCCCAAGGTTGGGAAACACTGCCCTAGAGAACCACTGACAGTTGGTGTGAGGCAGAGGTGGGCTTGTGGGATCTACTTTGGGTTCCCCTTCAAACTGGTGCCATTCAGATGATACTGGACTACATCTCCTGCCATCCCTGACCATTAGTCATGCTGGCTGGGGCTGATGGGAACAGGAGCTCAGAGTGGATTTATCCACACTTAGGGTTGCCACCTTTGTTCTGGCAAAATACAGGACAGGGTGGAGTGATTTGGGGTGTGTGTGTGGTATATATTTTTTCATCTGGTGCTGAAGTGACTTCAAAACAATCCATTACAATCTATTGCAGCCTAACAGGATGGCCCCTCTGGAATTTGTCACACACACACATACACATGAATTTGTAAATTTGTCTGGGCTTGGCTACCCAGAGCTGAAAAAATATGACCTTCACACACATGTGTTTGGAGAGGATCCCTAACTTCAGAGAGAGAGAGAGAGAGAGAGAGAGAGAGAGAGAGAGAGAGAGAGAGAGAGAGAAGACCTGAAATACAGGACAAAACTGTATCAATACAGGATGAAGCATTTCACACTGAAACACGGGACAATCCTGTATTATACAGGACAGGTGCAATACCTTTCCACACTTCCTTTTGTGCTGCTACTTTCCCCCAGGGAAAACCACTCTATAGAGCTCAATTGTAGCAAACAGCAATTTGGATGTTCCCTGGAGCGCCATTTGTTCTGATCTATCACTAAAGAGTGGACTTTCCCTTGGAAAAGAGCAAGACTAGGGGGGAAATGCTCAGACCTGTGCCTAGAAAGTGCGAGACAAGGAGAAAACTGCTCAGACCGGTGCTTTCTAGACATGGCATAAGCGAAAATGTGGACAAGCCCCATCTGTCTTCGTAGGGTACTCTGAGAATTGTAGCTCTGGGAGGCAAATAGGGGCCTCCTATCAACTCTCATCTCCCTTAACAAACTACAGCTCCCACAATTCTTTGGGAGAAGCCATGACTGTTTCAAGTGACATCATAGAGCATTGAAAGTGCTGTGTGAATGTGGTCAAGGACAGATTGACCTGCAGACAGGAATAACCTGAAGGAACTCCTGTTTGTTTGGGTTGTGTGAACTAGACCCCAGTTCTATTTCCTGTTGCTAAGTCGAAGGTTGGTTCCTGGCCTGTTACAAACCTATCAGTCAGTTTCTTTTTTTTCTTTTTCTCATATCCTCCTGCAATTTTCAGCCTGCCTGCTGGTCTTTGCCAATTTTATTTAGCTTGGACTCCATGCCTAGGCAATGGGCAATGTTTAATTTGCCTGCGTTTAAATTAATTAACATTATGATGTCGTCGAAAATTACTTCATTTGTAAATCCTCGGGGGAAGCAGTGTGTCATTTCTCTGTTCTCTAACAGCTCCTACGCACTGCCGGCAATGAATCAGAGTTAATACCCTTTCGCCGCAGGAGTGAGTATGCAGATGAGCCAAGATTTTTTGGGTGTGTGTGGTGTGTGTGTCTGCTGCTGCTGCTGTTTCACCTCCCAGAAGATTTTTTCTTTTAACAGCAACCTTGCCCTCAGTGCTACGGTCAATGAGTATGCATCATTTAGGAGATGCCAGTAAGCTGTGTTCCTCTTCTGTATGAGAGGTGGCAGCCTTATTCGTATAAGAAATATAGCATGGTGTAGTGGTTAGAGTGTCAGACTAGGACAGGCATGGCCAAACTTGGCCCTCCAGATGTTTTGGGACTACAATTCCCATCATCCCTGACTCCTGGTCCTGTTAGCTAGGGATGATGGGAGTTGTAGTCCCCACGAGGGTGAATAGGGTATGGCCTCACCAACCTCAGTCTGCCCTTAGCCCTCCCCCCCCCCACCTACTTACAGCTAGTCCAGGGCTGGCACTGCCTGCCAAAGATTCCTTCTCCATAGTCTCAGGGTACATTCAGATGTAGGGGATATTGCGTTAGTTGTTTTCCTAATCATGCCAGTGCTTCAGTCCTGTTTTCTAACATTCCCTTCAAACTGCAGTACCTGTTGTGTTATGGGACTTTGGTTTTTTGACCGATATGCAGGCACATGACACTAAATTTCATTCACACTGGTGCGTGTGTTGGGTTGGACCATGTCACTATTCCCCCATCCTTTCTGCACATGCCTGTTTCTATGCCCCCATGATTCCCCCATGAACACATCGGGGAAATAACTGCATGCTAGCATACGGCCCCCAATTTTGTCACTTTACTCCCTCCATTTTCTGGGTTAAGGGGCCTGCAAACAGATCCCCACCCCCCTTCCTGGAATCAGAAAACACAGAAAGGAGTGCTAAACATGCACCATATTCCATAGGTTTCCCAGAACTGACTTTTATGCCACGTGGAAAGCTTAGCAGTGGTGTAGAAAATAAGAGAGCAACCTCAGGAAAATGAAATAATCAGCTTTGTGAATACAGGCTCAGTGTTGCCACTGTAGAACTCAACAGGGAGGAGGGCAAAACTGGAATTTGTGGGTGTTTGCCTCTCACTGATCTCCATGCTTTCCACCCCACCAATCCCAATGGACATCAGCCACCACTGACTAGGATGTGGGAGACTTGGGTTCAACTGAGCTCTGAAACAGTGTTTGCAAATAATGTAAGAAACAAATAAAACTGATGACAAAGATGACTGAGGTTCTGGAAAGCAAGCCGTATGATGAGTTGTTGAGGGAGCTGGGTGTGTTTAGATTGGAGAAGAGGAGACTGAGAGGAGATATGATAGCACTTTTCAAATATCTAAAGTGCTATCACATAGAAGAGGGAACAAGCTTGTTTTCTTTCTGCTCCAGAGGGTAGGACCCAAAACAATGGATTCACGTTACAAGAAAGGAGATTCCAACCGAACATTAGGAAGAACTTTCTGATGGTAAGATACTGTGTAAGATATAACAAGTATGATCTAGTTTCTTCGAGAACAATCGAAAGTCTATTTTTTTGTATTTTTAAATTTTCTTTTTTTAGTATGGGATAGGATACAAACTGTAATATAGTAGATTGTTGTATAAATTTGTGAAATATGTTCAATAAAGGTTTATATTTTTTTAAAAAAGGATAGGTGAAAACTAGCACCTTGAAAACCAACACCATTTTTTCCTACACAATTTTCAAAATTGTGTGCATTTAAAAACACTGGTAGCATTAAAATAAATTCAACAGTGTAGATAAGGTTTGATGGTGTAACAATGGATTTACTGAATGGTTTAGTTCATGTAAAATATGCAGGGATGTACGGTATGCAAAATGAACCACTGAAAGAGAAGAAGGGAATTCATTGACTTAAGGTTGTCTAAATGACTATATTGAAATGTAAACTAGAAAATTTAATAAAAAAAACTATTAAAAAGAAAAGAAAACCAGCATCAAAAAGGACACATGTACAGACACACAATAGCATGGGCTGTCATATTCAGCACTGACTGAAGTCTCTGAACATACACGGAGTGCTGCAGTACTCACTCACCTTCCATCCGTTCTGTACCACATTGGTGGAGATGCCTACTAAGCTCAATAATGGAGGCATCTCTTTTGAAGGTCAGGAGTGGCAACCTAACCCAGAAGGCAAGACCACCCCTTGGCAGCTTACCTCCTCAAAGAGTTCCAGGCTGTAGGTGTTATCATCATCCGCAAAGTAAACAATCCCTGGCTGGCTGTTGTTTTTGTTAAAGGTCTCTCTCAGCCACCGTAGGGCCAGGTTCCTCTGCATTGTCCCCCGGGGGATGCGGGGGTCCCTCATGTCCCCCCTCAGCTTGTAGTTGCGTGGGGTTTCCACGTTGAGGTGGGTGTAGTTCAACCCAGTGTCCCTCAGGAGCCGGGTGACGAGAGGGGTCCTCCGCTGGGAGTCCTCCACTAGGATCCAGTGCAAGTTCATCACGTGCAAAAAAGTGTTGGCCAACCGCGTCAGCTCCGCCTTCTGGACCGGCCGGCTGTAGGTGGGTGTGACGACATGGATGGTGGGCAAGGCGTCCGACCAGGGAGGTGGTCGGGTGTAGACATACTCTGTCCTAACTACCTCCACGATGTCGCGGTCGGACAGGCAGTACTCCTTGGAGTCTGAGCCTTGGACGAAGTCGCGACGGGCATCTCCACCATCTTCTGCAGCGGAGCATGGGAAGGAGAAGGGCAGAGAAGGAACAATTGGTTAGTCTCCCTGGAGAAAGCTGAGAAGGCTGCTCAGAAGCAAGAAACTCTTTCAGTTTGGATTGGCTGGAGCAGAGACCGAACACTAGCAGGAAAGGATGGAGAGGGTACAAACTCAAGACACATCTGCATTACAGGAAGTTGACTAGATGACGCTTTGGCTCCTTTCCAACTCTCCGATTTTATGATCTACACAGCTCTGCACCAAGACAATCTGGATTTTCCAATCCGTAACCATAACAGGCATGTCTTCTCCTGCGTGCTCTCTCACTCCTCTCTCATACCTACTATGCTGGCTTTTAGACTGGAAGCCTATACTCTGGAAAATTGATGGTACTGTATAATTATCAACATCTATTTTTTCACCTTTTTTTTTTAAAAAAAAGAAAGAAAATAGAAAACGAAGAAACTAACACAGGATGCAGGCCCAAATTTATCAATTTTGGTTCTCTTAGTTTCTTGCTTTCCCAATCTTAAATTCAGTTAGCCACATTTCCAAATCAGTATTTTTAAGGCCTCGTGATAATTCATCAGCATTTTAATGTGTGCTTCTCCGAACCTACACATTTTTAACACGCATTTTTGCCTAATCTACACATTTTTGTCAGCAATCTCCTGTGTATATACAATATATAGAGGGAGTATACATTTGGTGTGCTGTTTTCATGGATATCTACATTTTTAAGCTCACTTCCCTCTAACATATGCATTTTTGTACCCCCTTTTTTGGTTGGGGAACTGCATCACATCATTTGGAGAAAAGTGAATTTCTAGGATAGATGTGTTTTGGTTCAAGTGATGTTTCAGAAGGGGTGACTTAGGTAGGTCTGCATTAAAATGCAAATGCTGAACCAAAATTCTAGTGTTTAGAATTTTGTTTAGGCATTAATTTTCACAGCAGAAAAAAAATGTTGCATTTGGGAGAATACAATAGTCAACTAATGCGTCCAAGAGAGCTGTGGGGAAGCCAAATGGAACCAGCCAGATTTGGGCAAAACAATGACTCTACCCTTAGGTCAACTGGCTTATTATGACTTTGTGAGGCCAACAGCACATGACAGCCTGTTGATGTTTCACCCATGAGAGCTAATGGCAGCAGATGATCTCTTGATACTTCTAGAGAAGTCTCTTGAGTATTTCTTTTAAAATAAATAATGTAGGAGCTTGGAGAACCTCCTGTTTGTTTCTGCTTATGCCCTGCTTGCCTTTTTGTAAATGAAAGCAAAATGTTACACAGTCACCATAAGTGCTCTCTTCTGTCTAAAGGAAACCAAACTAGCCTGGAACTTCTCAGTAAATGGGGTAGCAGGGAGTGTGCAACAATATATACCAAAACATGGTGGTGACTGCCAACAGTTTATGGATGCTCATCATACTATCTCATTAGATTCCTGAAGCATCTTCTCTTTTGGTGTATCTAGACTACAGAGTATACCAAGTGAACAACAGGATCGCTACATAGGGGCTACAGTTCAACCTGCTGTATCAGCAGGGGCTGCCCATTCTTGTCAATGGATTGTGGCTGGGGCAGAGGGCCCTTGCCCCAGAAAACCCTGTTCACACAATTGTTGGACAGTTATTTCCTTTTCTCCAGGGAAACCTGAACATTGCATACGTGCTTACTGTAGGTGCCAGAGGTGGATGCCAGGAACAGGTCAGCAATAACTCGCATGGCTTCAGTTCGGTTAACTATTTACTCAAAGAAACAAGACAAGCCCAGGAGGCCAGGCCTAGTGAGCACAGCCACTCTTCCTGGCAGAGTTTGCTCCTATGAGACAGTTGCAAGGACTGAAGATTCCCACCTACCCACAGCTACCTAAGTCTCCACCCTTGGTTCCTTCCCAAGCAATCTGAGGCTCTGTCATCTTGCCTGTATTTTATCAATCTGTATTTGCTCTCCTCTCCTCCCCTGCCCCTGGTTCTGGACTGTTCTCTGCCTTAGCCTCTTCCTGCTCACTAAAACCTGTTATCTCTTCCAACACCTCCTCCTGCCAGTCTGCTGCCACTTCTCCCTCTGACCATTCATCATCCCACCACCAATTCCCTGGCTCTGAGCCTTCTTCAATTGGGGGTTCCTGTGGGATTCCCCGCTGGTGCCTCCCACCACTTTTCTGCATCCAGCCAGTACATGACATTAGGCATCTCTGGAAAAGAATTCTCAGCATCGTCACCCAACTACAATTCTCAAGATCCTTTTGGGGAAACCATGACAGTTCAAGCAAAGCAAAGCCAAAGTTCCTAATCCAGATGTGGAAGTTGGAAGGGGCTATTGCCAGGCACATCAGCCTCAAGACACCTGAAAGAGCAATGCTTGGGCAACACATTATGGTGGCAGTTCATGTTTCCTAGCAAGATGTTACGAATAAGGATGCATGGTCTATTTTAGAATGTAGGCTCCTTGTGGGTGGACACCCATCTGTTTGTGCCCTTGTGAAATGCACATGTACACATATGGCACTGAATGAATACAACTGCAGCTGCATTAATGAATAATAATAATAAGTTGTTCTGTTCGCAATTACTCGAGGTACAATTGGACATGCTCTCCTGTGGTTGCAAGAAATTAGCTGCCATGGCCACTCCCCCATACTTTAAGGTTATTCATAATGGACTGAAATAGAATTGCCCTACCAGTCTGTTTACCAGTTAAAGGTCAGAGGTTTTTTGCTCTTTCCAGGAATGGCTAGCTGATTCATGGAGCCATTTCAGTTAGCATACCAGCAGCTCAACCACATTTTAATCCTAATGTAGTGAAACGCTTTGTCCATAGCTTCATCCTAAAGGTGAAGAAATTTGTTTAGAAGAGCACTACTGGGTCAGACCAACGGTCCATCTAAGTCCAGCATCCTATTCTCAGGGTGACCAAGTAAATGCCTGTAGGAAGCCCGGAAACAGGACATGGGTGCAACAGCACTCTTCCTGCTTGTGATTCCCAGTGACAGAAGTCAGAGGCAAATTGCCTCTGATTATGGAGGTAGCTCATAGCTCCTACAACTAGTAGCAGCCTTCTCTTCCAAGGATTTCTCTAACCCTCTTTTTAAAGCCACCCAACTTCCATTTAATAGCCTTCGCCCAAAGGTTGTGACTGAACAGTCCCACATTTAATGCTGCATCTTACTTCTGAGTTTGTATGCCAAGAACCATTCTGCTTCCACACAAGCCTGCCCATTTTCTATGGCAGAGGTGACTGCGGTGATGCCCTCCATATTGGACTCCAATTCCCATCATCCACAGCCATTGGCCTTGTTGCCTGGGGCTGATGGAAGTTGCTGTCCAAAATATCTGAAGTTGGAGAAGCCTGTTCTAGCTTATCACCCCCCCCAAATGCATTTGAGAGAGATCCAAAGTAATTGACATCAGCCTTTAGTGCTTGCATTGTGGTTCACATCAAAAGCCCAGCATAATCCAGAGTATATTGGACTAAAACCCTGGATAACCTGGTAAGGATTTTCTTTCTTGATTCTTATTAGACCTCAGGGATGATCAGTTTAGGACAGGGGAGAACTTGTAGCCCATCAGATGTTGCTTTATTCTTAACTCCCATCATTAAAGGAGGAGGAGAAGAGCCATGTATACATCACCCTGAACTCCTTAGAAGAAAGGTGTTGTAACTAGAATAAATAAATGAGCTCCATAACTGTGGCCATGCTAAATAGCACTAACTAAATTTTATTATTTATATTTATTTGTTATCAGCATTTTTATACCTCTCTCCAACCTTATACCCTCCCAGAATGGTTTTACAAAAATATTTTTTAATGGAAAAAAAGGAAATACACCCAAATATAAAGTTAGCAGAAAATACACTTCCAGGAATGAAACATATACCAAAGGTTGTGTCATTGCATTCTACTTTATGGAAAGGTCAAAGAGCAGTAGCTCAGTGGCAACCACAAGGTTCCAGGTTCAGTCCTGAGCATCTTCAAATACAGCTGGGAAAGACTCTTCTCTGAAATGCTGGAGTTCCCCTGCTGCTCAGTGTAGACAATGCTGAGCTCAGTTGACCAATGCTTAAGCTGGGCATAAGGCAACTTCTTGTTTCCACATGAGCATGACCCTTCACTGATATCATTTACTGCAGCTGTATATACCATGCATTGCACTTTCAGAAATTAGATGGGTGGTACCTGGAGATGATGCCTTTTCGGAGGAACATCTTCCTCAAGGATGTTCACTGAGCACCAATGTTGTGGTTTATTTAGGTGTCCAATAAAGATGGTATCATTCTCCCCCCTGGCTTCTGCTTAGAAGCCGTCTGGCAGGGATGAGGTCTTAGCTCACGTGTGTTGTACACAGAAGGTACCAGGGCCAACTCCTGACATTTCCAGGTAGGGCTGGGGAAAACTCCTTGCATGAAACTCTGGAGAGCCCCTGCCGGCCAGTGTAGACAACACTGAGCTGCATGGATCAATGGTCTGACTTGACAAAAGGCAGCTTCTGATTATGGAGAAATTGCAAGAAATTAGCTGCCATGGCCACTCCCTCATACTTTAAGGTTATTCATTATGGACTGAAATAGAATTGCCCTACCAGTCTGTTTACCAGTTAAAGGTCAGAGGTTACCAGTTAAAGTTAAAGGTCCTTACCAGTCATGGGAAGTTTAGGAATGCTAGTCCTTAACCTGTCACAGGTCACACTGGATCCTGGCTGCTCTTCCTGAGTTCTCCATCTGTTTCTCTCGGCTGGGGGACAGGTCTGTGTGTGCCTTGTGCCCTGTCCTGTCTCAACTACCCCTTAAGTGTGGTGGAGGGAATTTCAGGATCACCACTGCTAAAGTAAGGTGAGGTTTCTCTACCTGACTGAGGGAGGTGACATCTTGTCCTTCGCCTCCTGCATGCAAAACAAGCCCTGTTGCTCCCACAAGATGCTGCGATGGCCAGGAGTTTAGAGGGCTTTAAAAATGAAAGATTTGACAAGAGTCATGGAGATAAACCTCATCTCTGTGGCCGCAAGCCAAGAGAGATAAACAGGGAAGGAAATACAACTCGGGGGGAAGAGTTTGGACTTTGCTTGCAGAAGGAACCAGGCTCAATCCTTGGCATCTCCCAGGTAAAAGGATCAGGCAACACGGCTGCAAAGGAGCCTAGAGAGCCACTGCCTGTCTGACTTGACCAAGGTGGGAAACATATATCATCGAGCCCTAGTGGATGGAGGCTAGCATCTTGTGTACACTGCTTCCTGAACATGAAAAGAGCCTTGCTGGATCAGGCCAAGGGGAGCCGGCCTAGTCCAGCATCCTATTCTCAGTGGGAAAATGACAAGCAGGATTTGAGCCCAAGAGAAACCCTCCCCTCCTGCAGTTTTGAGCAACAGGCATTCAGAAGCATTGCTGCCTCCGGGTGTGTGTGTGTGTGTGCACACGCACACTGGATGCAGAATAAATGAAAGCATGTACACAGTCTAAGTAAAACCAACCCATATAAGCTCCAAAACCATTTCCACCCTGCAAGAAGCTTGGAAGAACGCTGTGTGGCTGTGAGCTGCCCGAGGATGAAAATGAGCTGGGTGATGATGGAAGAACTGGGAATGAGCCATGGGGGGTGTTGGGTTGGCGGTGGTGGAAGCAAGAGGTGGGCGCAGTTGGCCCAGGCTGGTGGCTTTCTCCTCACCCTTGTGCACGGCAAGCAGCGGAGCAATGGTGCTTTGGTGCCACACGGTGATGAGCAGTGTCCAGGGAAGAACTATCAGCACGATAGCCAGGATGTCTCGACGCTTCGGCATCTCCAAGGCTGAAGGGACCCACAGCTCCTCATTACCTGACAGCGAGAACCCCAGAGACAGAACAGCAGAGGACATGGAGAACAGAGATAAATGGACAAGAAGGAACAACGGCAGAGAGAGAGAGAGAGAGGAGAGGGCGGCAGAAGGTGGCACGGCTCGTAGGTCTTACCAGTACTCACAACCCACCCATTGCACAAGCAGGTTTGCAGGGACAGCTGCTGCCAGAGGAGGAGGAGGAGGAGGAAGGACAGGCCGCTGCAAGCGGGGGACGTTCCTCCAGGCAATATTGCGGGAGCCGCCAGCGAGGAGGACTTCAGGGTCCCGTTTGGACAGAGGCCTGCAAGGGAAAGCAGAAAGGAAGAGGCAGAAAGAAGCGCTTGAGGGTTGGGCGGGTTCAACGTTTCGCTTGCTAAAGCCTGCCTCATGAGTTGCAGTATCATTCTGGGTCTTGACTCAGCCCTGGAACCTGTTAGTTAACAAGAAGGTAAACTCTGAGCATGTGCAAAGAGCCTTTCCTTTGCCACTGGGTATCTATAGCAGGGATGGGGAAGCTGAGGCCCCCATATGTTGTTTGCGACTCAGTCTGGTCAAGAGCCAGGGATAATGGGAGTCAATTACTTTCACAAACACTGTTTGACTGTTTTTCTGTGCACTCAGTTTTTAAATGATTGTCAAACTGCCTTGTGTTTTATGGATTTCTAAGGCACTCTGAGACATCTTTTTAGGTGCAAAGCAATGAAGGAATGTAAATTATCACTGCCATCCAGCAACTTCTGGAGATCCATAGCTTCCCCGTCCCTGAACTACAGCCCTACTCTCACTGACCCATGGCCGTGTCTGAGGCCTGATCCACACATTCCTCTACCCCACTCTACACTGGTGACCCACAGCTGAGCAGCAGAGAAGGGAGTCAGGGAAATGGCACCAGGGAAGATGAGAAAAACTTGGGAGTTAGCCAGACATGGTGAGAGGACTTCATGGTGGCTGCTTGGACCTCCTGCGGTAAAAGAGGTTGCATGAGTTATTTTTTAATTTGACAAGTCATGTCAGGCCAAGTGCATCTAAGCACACACAGAGTGCTTGAGTGGGTGGAAGGAATGACATGCAAATTGTGGGCGTGTACACAGTGTGCTTCCCATTTGGTTGTTGTTAAACTACACCGAGAACTTGAATATTTTGTCACCTGCCGCAAACGCCACCACCCTGTCCCTGCGAAACGTTCTTGGATAATTTCCTTCAGTGTAGGTCATTTGCTCTGTATATTAAAATTTTATGATGTTTTGACAATTTTTTTTGTATCCTGCCCCCCCCCCCGAATTGGCAGATTATAACTGCTCTTATAGTAAGTAAGTAAGTAAGTAAGTAAGTAAGTAGCAGAGTGCCCTTGAACATGGGCAAAGGGTACACTGTCAACTATGTTGTTATTTTGTGCTCCTTTTTGTTTATATGCCACCTTTCAGCCAAAAAAAGTCTCCCCGTGCCCGCCGTGGCTCAAAGAATAAATGCAGGAAGGCAAATGCAAACAATACCAATGATAAAAATTTAAAACAAAGCAACAAAACTGAAACCGACCCATTCACTCATCCCCATTCAAAGAGAGGCCAATTCTTTAACAGCGGCTAATCAATAATATCTTCACAGGATATTACTGAAGCAGTACCTCATGTGCTCCTAGCTTGCACTCTTTATAAAGATTTGAGGGGTGACGTTATTACCCCTCTACTATTATCCATACCAGGTCACTCAACCATTGCTATGGTGTCCTTTCTTCTAGCAGATCAAGATAACAAGGTGACAGCAAAAACTGCAAAAAAAATTTTAGCAGGGGCAATTAGAATAAGACCTATTGTTTGATTATTGATTTAGACCTCCAGGATATATTTTGTAGAGTTAAGTTTTTACCTCTATCTTCAGTACATTGTATTTTATTTTATTGCTATGGCTAGTGGCTGATGAAAATAAAGATTCTTCTGATTTTCATTATTCATGGGAAAGACATTATAATGGATTCTCCACCCCCCCATCCTCTAAGGATTCTGGGAAATCCCATGACATTTTTTTAAAAATTGAAACATGAGTCCGCCTTTACATGACAGACACGCCTCCCACAAGAAATCCCACGTCAAGGGTAACCTACGAGGTGTCTTCCAGCTGCTTTAGACCACAACTGGCATCATGGCCAAATGGACTCCAGTCTTGTCCAGCATGGCCTTATATGAGTGGCCATTGATCCATCTAGCTCAGTATTGTTTACACTGACTGGCAGGGTCTCTCCAGGGTTTCAGGCAGGGAATTTTTCCCAGTCCTAACCTGGATATGGAAACTGAATGCAAAGCAGATACTCTACCACTGGTCTTTTCCCCTATGGTGCTGAGGCTGGTGGAAGCTGTAGTCCAAATTATCTGGAAGGCACCAGGTTGGGGAAGGTTTCCCTAGATTGTCCCCTAGTTTCATGCAGGCTCCTCTCCTGACTGCTTCTATTCCTCCACTGTGAAGCATCCAAGGCTAGAGTGCATTAAACTGCCACAGTAGCTTAACTCCGATGTGAACATGAATACGCGCAAGATTTAAGCAGGCTGTATTTTATTGAGGGGTTATCTTGGCAAGCGGCGTACATCACTTAGATGGCAACGTGCCGGGCCGCCAGTTTGCAAACAGGAAAGAGCAGCCGAGCTCATGTGCAGCTCTGGAACCAAGGAAGCAGATATCAAAACACTGCACTGCTGCATTGCAGGCAGAGAAAGGCACCTGGGAGCAGTGGCTGGAGCATTCAGATGTTGGGGTGCAAGCCACTTTGATTCAGGAGAGAAGGGACAGGCATTGCACAAGCACACGTAACCATCAACGAACAACCCATCTAATCCACCACAGCCTTCTTTGGTCCTTATTTGCCAGGTAACTTTCTGGTTACCTGTCGTAGGAAACTGGTCTCTGCTGTCTCAGGTCAATGGTCTATCTAGATCAGACTGACTGGCTGCAGCTGTTTGGGGTTCCAGGTGGGACCCTTTCCTAGCCCTACTTGGAGATGCTCAGGATCAAACCTGAGACCTTCTGCATGCAAAACAACTGTCCAACCAGTCAGGAATATATAGGAAACTGCTTTGTATTGAGTCATTGGCTTATCTACCTCAGTGCTGTCCACTGGCAAAGGCACTCCCAGATGTCAGGGCCAAATGTTACGCAATTCACACTTCCCAAAGGAAGAGCAATAGGAAGCTGTGAGGCCCCAAGCCTGAATTTGCTCCTGATCTGGATTGTGCCCCCCGCTCAGTTTCCTGATGAAAGCTCCTCCCGCTCTAGCTGCTGTTTGCACTTGAAGGTGCAAGTCTTGAGTTGCTGGACTGTTGTTGTTTTTCAGCCTAAAGGAGTTTATTCACGGATATGTTTTGGGATCTCAAGTGTTTGTTGTGAGTTCAAATCTCATCTCAGTTCTGAACTTTCTCAGGAGGCCTTTGACAAACTGCAGTAGTTCAGGCCTTGTTCCCCACCTGCATTTGGGGATAATAATCCTGGTCTACTTTAATGGGATTATCAACAGAGAAGTGCTTTCAGGTGTCTAAATAGTATTGTCATTGCAGCCTCTCCACTAGAGGATGCACCTGTACCAGCCTGTTCAGATTCTGTTATCTACAGGGGAGATTCATGAAAGTGCCCCTTCCAGTCATTGACATGTTGCAGCCAGCCAATAGTAGTCAAGCAGTGCGTGGAACACAGCCAGTGAGGTGTGTGACCTGGGGTGTGGCTTGGGAGGGCATAGCTTTGGGACAGTCCATGAGGACCAGGTACAGACACCTGGAGGGTTCTTTGCTCCTGGCCAGGAGGCTGTTGACCTGATCTGAGTGAACCAGCTCACAGAGATGCTTTTCTTAAAGGTAAAGGTAAATGGACCCCTGACCGTTAGGTCCAGTCCTGGCCGACTCTGGGGTTGTGGCGCTCATTTCGCTTTATTGGCCGAGGGAGCCGGCGTACAGCTTCCGGGTCATGTGGCCAGCATGACTAAGCCGCTTCTGGAGAACCAGAGCAGTGCACAGAAACACCGTTTACCTTCCCGCCGGAGCGGTACCTATTTATTTACTTGCACTTCGATGTGCTTTTGAACTGCTAGGTTGGCAGGAGCTTTTCTTAGATGGTGCTTTTTCCAACGCTGATGCTTCTTACCCTAGCCTGGGCAAATGCTAGAATCCATGCAGCTTCCCGCAGGCAAAAGAGAAAGTGAGGGGAAATTCTCTCCCTGCTGTATGCAAGGGGGAGGGAGGGAGGGAGGCCTTGCTGTTTCTGCCTGGCCTCCTTCAGTATCGATTCCCTTTAATTGGGTCCAGAATGTTTAACTGCTCCCTGGTCAATCATCGGCAACTTCAGCTTTCCAGAAAGGAGGAGGAAGATGCAGCCTCTCGATTAAAAAAAACAAACACAAACCAGCCAGATCCAAGAATCTTGATTGTGTGTGTGTGTGTGTTGTGTGTGTGTGTGTGTGAAAGTGATAGACTGCCACTTAGCATCTGCAATGCAAAAGGTTTGGCAGGCAGGGCAATGGCCTTTTCTAATTAATCCAAAGCCACGCTGCAATTGCAAGCTAGGGCATAGTTTACATTTTTAGGGAGCACAGACGAGTCAAGGTGGGGCACCCTCCATTGAAGGGGGGGGGTGGCACAGCAAGGAAGTAAATGTCCAGGTGTGGAATTCAATGTAGTGCTAAGGAGTTCAATGTGTCCCCTCCCTTCCTCTTGTGGTCTGTTCTGGGGGTTCTCCCGACCCTCCAGAGAGGATTTGGGTGTGTGTGTGTCTGCACAGATATAAGGGACATTTCTTTATTAATAATGGAATACAGATTACTTAATGTAAGAGGAAGGTAGAAACCACAAAAGAGTTAGAGGGAAGTCAAAATAACATACAAGGGATGCAAACCAGTCTAGGAGAACAGAAAGAACATGACTGTAAAGAAAAAATGAGAGGAAAGTGGAAATATGAAGACAACTTCTTTCTAAGAACCTAATGTATTGAATATGTAAAGTATGGTTTGTACTCCTTAAATGAATTTATATATAATATAAATATATTATTTTTTATTTTTCTCTTCTTTTTTCTTTTCCTCCCTTCCCCCCTTCCCCCTTTTCTTTCCCTTTTTTATTTCAAGTTTTATTTGTTAGATTTTCTTTTTGTATTGTTTTGTATTGTTATTGTTGATTGTTTTTTATTTGCAAAATAAATAAAGCATTTAAAAAAGAAAAAAGAAAAAGAAGAGAGACCAAAGCCCTTTTGTTCAGTCTTTGCACTGGCTTCTACCAGTGGAATGGCATAGTTGAACACAACGGGTGGTATCCAGCCAAGTGCGGCTCA